ACACACACACACACACACACACACACACACACACACACACACACACACGAGTTATTTCATGTGTTCAAATGAGACATAAAACGTGGAAAGTTTGTTCTAGTTTTCATTGGATGGAGATGAAACTTCATTTTCTCAGTAAACACAAGAAGTTAGTTTAAAATGAATTGCAACGAGTTTTGAATTCATTCTGGTTGTTGCAGATGTAGAAATTAAATACTCATATTTAAGCTTTATTTTTAAAGCTCATTAACGTCTCTATTAATTAAGGCTAACACATAGACAATAAGTAAATGTTTCTATAGCTGTGGTCCTGTCTTTTGAATTGTAAGTGCTGTTTTACCTTCGGCTTCTTCTCCAGATCAGCTTCGGTTTTGGGTCCCAAGAGGTGAAGAACCTTTTAAGACCAAAGCCACATTTGTTTCACAGTATTAAATTCAAGAGTTCAATCAGAGCCTAGTCTTTTTTTTCCCCAAGCCTACCTGCATGTCCACCTCATTTTTGATCACCTTCCCGTCGGCCCATTTAAGAGCTGAACGTGCTTCACCTGCAAAAACCACACAAAGTTTTGATTTCCCATTAGGCTTCATTAACTGTAATAAAAATTAACCAGCAAACGTGAGCTCATACTCATCAGCAGCCCCATGTTGAAGCGGTATCTCTCTTTCAACAGCTGCTCCTTGTGCTTCTTGATGACAGACTCTACCTGCATAACATGCCACCGTCACTGAACGCACCACAACCAGTAGTGTTTACAGAGAGAAAACTTGCCGTCAGAGGGAGATCCTGCACTTACTGCATCCTCAATCTGCTCAGGGGTTATGATTACACCCACGCCACACGCTTCATTAAATGCTTTCTGACAGATGGGATCTTGGGGATGACCCTTCACAAAGTCCAAAGCAGCTGCAAATATAAAGTGATTGTATATAGATATTGTCACAAAAAAAAAAAAAGAAAAGCAATACGAGTAAGCTGTTCAAATTGTGGTTTTTTTATGATCACAGTTTTCATGAGTAGAAATTAAACTGATGAGAAATTACCTGTCAGCTGCAGCTCAGTGCAGACTTGTTTCTGGGCGATACAGTCTGAAAGAAACCCCAGGCGTTTGTTGTCTTTAAGGCGAGATGCCATGCTGTACAGCAATGTGCCCATCGCTTTGTCCACTCCTGATGGGCCATTGACACGCTGGGCCTTTAAAAACACATGGTACGAGACAGATTGTTTGTTTTCTCCTGTAAAATCTGCGCGAAGTGAACTCAACAAGCGGAAGTCAGAGCTGGTTTGCAGGATGTGAAGTTCATAAGCCGCCACACATGAAAGCAGTTTAATAATAATGAAAGTGAAAGTAAAATAACTTAATAAATGTGTAACTAGAGGCACTTTCAAAATGATACAAGGTGGAACAGCCAACTACCGGTAGTCACATGTAGCTGTCCAAGTCCTACCTGAGTAATTGCGTCTTTCAGAACTGAACTTAGTGCTTCATTTTTCAGAGTTTCTTTGGCTTTCTGCTCGCTCAGCCCTATCGAGGTAAAAAGTGTCAACGTATCCGCCATTGGACCAGTGGATATATCTGAACCGCACTGACACACAACCAGCACGCCACGACCCGTCTCTTCAGAGAAAGAGCGAGGGGAGACTTCCTGTACATTAAAACAAAAAAAATGAATGACGGGCTACATTATCCAATAGGAAATCACGGGTGGAACAGCGTCGACCAATCGTAAGTAAGAATGGTTTTAAGTTTCCGCCTATTTCAAACTACAGAACCAATCAGATGTTTGTTGACATCAGAGTGGGAGGGGCTACGGAATTGGTTTAATGTTGCATCAGATTAATAAATCTGTCATTTTGGACGATTATTTTAGATTTCCCAAAGTAATCGCTTTTTATTAATGCTAGCTAACAATTTCGCTGCGCTATTACACAAACATAACTATTTTTGAAAGTTATTCTTTAAGTTATGTTGAGCTTTCTAACGCAGTGTAAAGTATTTGTTGTCCAGCGTGAAGAATTAATTTAAAACTCCGCGAAAGTTATTCTTTTGAAGCTGAGTGTTGATAAACAATGCATGGCTTTCCGTGTTTGTTTCATACTGTCACTGTTATTGCAAAATATTTCTGAAGATTTTAAAACTCTAGTAAGTCAGAAAGGCGTTTTGTTTTGACTTGCAACAAATTTAACTTAAATGTTTTAAACGCTATCATACGATATCAGGTCGCAGAGAAGTAGCATCAAAACAAGAATGGCGAAGCACGTGGTTTTTTCTTCAGGAGCAAAGTTGTGGAGATCTTTGGCTTGTGCAAAGTCAGAACTATGCCTGGATCTCACCCTTGCCTGTGGACAATCTTTCCGGTGGGTTAAGGTTAGTCGGCCTCTTAACATTCAGTGCACCAAATAACAAACATGCATTTATTTGCTTTAACGCGTTCAGGTGGAGAGAAACTGCAGAAGGACACTGGACAGGAGTGATGGGAGGGAGAGTGTGGACTCTGACTCAAACAGATGACACTCTTTGGTACTACCTGTACACAAACCATGACAGTCGGAGTGGAGGTGACAAGAAGCTGAGAGGTGGTGTATCTCTTCAGGACAACAGAGCTGAGAGAACATCTAAAGATACTCAGAGGAAGGATGAAGAGGAGCCACAGGCTGTTAGTGACCAACAGGGCAGTGAGATGGAGGCAGAGATGATGCTGAGGAACTACTTTCAGCTACATGTGAAGCTGGAGGATCTGTACAGGGAGTGGGGAGCAGCAGATCCCCACTTCAAGAAGATTGCAGACATTTTCACCGGTCCGTGTGTGTTTGTATACTCTTTATCATCTTTGCTTTGCAACAGTTAAAAGGTTTTTGACAGATGTGTTGTATGTGCTGCGTGGTATTTCTCCAGGTGTGCGAATTCTGCGCCAGAACCCCACCGAGTGCCTGTTTTCCTTCATTTGCACCTCCAACAACCACATTTCTCGTATTCAAGGAATGGTGGAGAGGTTGTGTCAGGCTCTGGGCGCTCCACTCTGCCGGCTGGATCAAACCTCCTACTATGATTTTCCTGCCCTCTCTGCACTAGCAGGTGCTGTAAACCTCCCCACAGATCATACGCACCGATTTATAACCTTGCCAACAATGTTACTGTAAACCATAAAGGGTTTACCAGCTCTTTTGGTGGTCATAAATAAATTTTCTGTACCTTTGCCGGGTAAACCTTGTTCCTTCTGCAGACAAGTGAGGCAGGGATAGGTTTTATTACTCACAAGTCATTTACCCTGTTTCATTTTTCACAAAATGTTGTGCTCTGATATGTTGTGTTTTAAACCCCTCTGGTCCATCATCTGAATGCCTGCCTTCAACTTTTATCTACATTTTTTTTAAGTCAAAATGTGTCATTTTCACTAGCTATTTAAATAATTTGACCATTTTTTATTACACAAAAACCTTTTTAACTGGGGTACACCGATAAATCGGCCCCGATTTCCTTAATTTTGGGCAATCGGAAATTGGCCGATACTTGCATGAGTTACCGATTTTACTGCTTTTTTGTTTGTTTGTTTTAACAACAATTGTCTAAACTTCATTTATATTTCAAAGCACTAACTCATGGCCAGTTAAAACAAGTTTGTAATATTTCTAGGATATTGTTCAAGGATATGTTTTTCAACACAATAATCCTGGAAAATTCAAGGTGCACTGTGACCTTATAACACCTGACAATGTCGCTTATAAAACAAAATCGGTATTGGCAGGTCAGACTTTTTAGAGATCAGTGATCGGCCAGAAAACTGCAATCAGTGCACCCCTACTTTTAACTCCTGTAATTTCCAGTTTATAAGCCACTACTTTTTTCACACGCTTTGGACGCCACGGCTTATACAGTTACGCAGCTAATTTATGTTTGTTTTGTGTTTTTTTATTATATTTACAGTAATGTTTTTTCATGAGCTAACGAGCTTCCTGCCACCAAAAACATTTAGCGGTAGCAGCACTGGTCTCTCCAGTGATTACCGGTAGTCTGTTTTTCTTAGACTAGTTTTTATGTTTGGTTAACATATTTAGTAGAGTAGCCATGAGTCGGAAAGGGTGTTACCATGAAGACCTGTGAGGATCAGCTGTTTGTGTGTGTGTTGAAAGCAAACTAAAGTCTATGAAACGCCATCTGGTGGTTGATTCTTGTACTGCAACAAGAGCTGCACATTCTATCAGGATCTGTGTACAGTTTCTGAAATTAAAATGTGGACTCCTGCAGCTTATCCTCAAACGCGGCTTATTTATGCACAAAACTGTGTTTTTATTTTAAATGTAGTGTGCGCGGCTTATAGTCAGGTGCGCTCTATAGACCGGAAATTATGGTATATCTGTGTTCTTCTAATCATTAGACAGCAGTGTAGAGGCATGCCTCAGGGATCTTGGCTTTGGTTACAGAGCTCGGTTCCTTCAGAAGAGTGCAAAGCAGATTCTGGACACTCACGGGCTCCAGTGGCTTGAAGGTTTACGCAGACTCTCATATCTGGAGGCCCGTGATGCTCTTCGGACTCTCCCTGGCGTGGGCACTAAGGTACAACAGGAAGCTAATGTGTCAACTTGCAATTGATTATATTAATGAGTACAGTGACAACAGTAGTTATTCAAGGCTTTTTGTCATCTTGTAGGTGGCAGACTGTGTCTGTTTGATGTGTCTGGATAAGCCAGATGCTGTACCTGTGGATACACACGTGTGGCAGATTGCTCAGCGGGACTATAAGTATGCTGCTGATAAAGGACAAAAGAGCCTTACAGAAAAGCTTCACAGAGATATTGGTTAGAGCACACAGCTTCTTAGCAGTTAAAGCCTTTCTTCATCCATTAACACAACTTCTAATGAACTATTTTTCCACAGGAGATTTCTTTAGAAAACTTTGGGGCCCATATGCTGGCTGGGCACATTCAGTAAGTGTTGGCGCTCAGTGAGTTTCTGTCACTATGTCCATAGTTTGTCCAAAGTTACTACATAGTGTCTCTTTCTGTTTTAGGTGTTGTTCTGCGCTGACCTCAAGAAGTTCCAGAGCCTCAAAGAAGGAGCATGTTTTAATCAGCTGAAGAAAGAGAACGAAAAGGAGGAAAAGCCCAGGAAAAATACAATAAAGAGAGAACTTGAAGGACACGGACTAAACATTAAGTCAGAATATCAGAAAAAGGCAAAAGTTTGTGTCAAGGAAGAGAGGATGCTGTAAAATAAACAAGCTTCAGATCACGCCACACTTTTTGCTAATTTACCTCTATCTGAAAATACAATGAAATCAAATGCTAGATGACTCACTGTTCATAAATTTATTGTAAAACAGTTAATAGTTGAAACTTTACAGTTTATTGTAACGTAACAAATCGTAAAGGAGTTGGCTACAAAAAGCCTTTTTATTTTATCGTAAGTGAATAAATGCTTTTTTATGTGTTACTTGCACTTAGAAAAGCATTATCATGTCATTTACATCAGCCGCTAACAGAATCACACTGCTAACAGTACCATGCTGCTAATAGGACCATGATGCTAACAATACCATGCTGCTAACAGAACCATGCTGCTAACAGTACCATGCTGCTAACAATACCATGCTGCTAACAGAACCACACTGCTAACAGTACCACGCTGCTAATAGGACCATGCTGCTAACAGAACCATGCTGCTAATAGGACCATGATGTTAACAGTACTATGCTGCTAACAATACCATGCTGCTAACAGAACCACGCTGCTAATAGGACCATGATGCTAACAGTACCATGCTGCTAACAGAACCACACTGCTAACAGTACCATGCTGCTAATAGGACCATGATGTTAACAGTACCATGCTGCTAACAGAACCATGCTGCTAATAGGACCATGATGCTAACAGTACCATGCTGCTAACAGAACCACACTGCTAACAGTACCACGCTGCTAATAGGACCATGGTGCTAACAGTACCATGATGCTGTAGATGTATTTATTTTTCACTTTTGACGCCTTGTTTTTGTAAATGGACTGTACTTATATACTGGACTGTACTTATATAACTGGTCTAGAATGCAGCAGCCTGATTTTTAACCAGTACAGGCAAAAGAGAGCACATTACACCAGTTTTGGCCTCACTGCACTGGTTACCGGTTCACCTTTGAATCCAGTTCAAAATACTCCTGTATGTCTACAAATCGCTGAACAGTCCCCCCCCCCCCCCCCCCACCCAAATCTCTATGATCTGCTACAACCGTATGTCCCACCACGTTCCCTGAGGTCAGTGGACCAGTTGCTCCTCACAGTTCCAGGAACTCATCTTAAGCGCAGAGGGGACAGGGCCTTCTCTGTAGCAGGACCAAGACTTTGGAACGAGTTACCTCTGCTAGGCAGACAGCCCCCCTCCCTCTCGGTTTTCAAATCCCGTTTAAAAACCCACTACTATTCAGTAGCTTTCAACACCAGATGATCTGTGTTTTGAACCTGTACGCTCCACACTGGTTTGTCGTCATTATCTGCATCGTTTTTATGTCTATATTTTTTATTTACTTTATTTTTTATATTGTTTTGTGTGTTGTCTGTTGTTTTGTCTGTACAGCACTTTGATTGGCCTTGTAGCTGTTTTAAGTGCTCTATAAATAAAATGGTATGGTATATAGCGCCTTTCTATTTTATCAAGACACTCAAAGCGCTTTAGACTACAATCTGTGTCCTCATTTACCCATTCATACAGCACTCTACTAGATCTCTACAAAGCTTAATTAGTGCTTTATCACATCAGGTTCAGTGTTGCCCAGGGACACTTCAGCATAACTGCTGGTGGAATCGAGCCCCCAACTCTCGCATTGGAGGACGACTGCTCTAACCACTCAGCCACAGCTGTCCCAATTTGTATTTTGTTGCATGCTTTGGTATTTCTTGTTGTTCGTCCTGAACATTTCATTGCATTGTTGACCTTGTGTTGACCTGCGTATGACAAATTTAAACCTACAAGCTACATCAATTACTAATCGTTTCTTAAACTGGCCTCTAGGTGGCAGCATTTACAAAAGCAACCAGCACTGGACAGCAGTGGGTCATTTGGACCGATTGTTTCTCATCAAGTCTTTGTGCTCATGTTTTCCAGTGTACCAACACTTCACGTCAGTAGAGCTCACGTTTTAAATGGTCAGAAGAAGCCAAAGCATTGCGTTCCCCTGCATCGTAGCTCTTATTGTTTGTTGGATCATCAACAGCAGTTGGACTGCGTGGTTGTGAAGTGTCAAAGTGACTGTGCGTTTATCTATAGGCCCTGGCTGCCTGTGTCAGCTGATCTTTTTATAGCAGGGATTGCAGCTATCTGCTGTGGGTGCTTGAGACTGCCGTGACCGTCTCTGGTCACAACATGGCCACATCTCCGAGGAGTGTTGACGCACTGCTGTTCCTTTTAAAGGAACGACTGAGCAGGTTTTTGTGTTTGTTTTGAATCTACTGAAATAATTCTTTTTCAAAATGTGGCAGCAGCACACAAGGCCATCAAACCCTAATCTAGAAAAAAAAAAAACATCCTGACATGTGAACTCATGCATTTTGTTCATGCTCTGTATGTGTGTGTCTTCCATCCATAGGAGTGTTTTATTTGTGGACCAGGGTGCAGCCATGTGAGCTAACGAACATGTGAGTCAGCTTTCATCCCAGATGAGCTAAACGGAAGCTGAGGCCCAGCTTCAGGGCAGAGCCACCGTGGAGGAGAAGAGCGAGATACCAAAATAGAAGAAATAGAAAATTTAAAAAAAGAGAACGAGGTTGGGGGAGGGGATCTGCAGGAGGTAGAAACAAGAATAATAACAAACACACAAAGCAGAGTGAAACAAAAGTGGCCTGTGCGTTACGTAAGAGCTGAGTTTCAACCCTTGGGCTTGTTTCAGCTGAAAAGACCTTCCTCTAATAAGAGCATCTTTACAAGTAAGCATTGTGAGGCTCCACCTTTGGAACGTCTGCAATAATGAAGAAGTTCTTCCTTTGTGTCAGGAAGAAGAGAGTTTGGATGAGGGGGTTCTGTGGTAGCCAACCAAAAAGTGTAATAAGTGTCCAGCAGTCCATTGATTATCGCGGGGGATCCGTACACTGAAGACCCACGATAAGTGAAAAACTATGAAGTAGGAATAGTAGTACAAGTAGTAAGTAGTAGTTTATTTTA